ATATGTTGTGTATCTTTATACGTATATGCTTCTAAACTGTTGTATTCTGAGCACCTCTGCAAAAGCAGTGATAATGTGTGAGTGTGGTGAAAGTGTTGAATGATGAAAGTATTTTCTTTTTGGGGATTTTCTTTCTTTTTTGGGTCACCCTGCCTCGGTGGGAGACGGCCAACTTGTTGAAAAAAAATATATATATATTATATATATATATATATATATATATATATTATTTATATATATATTTATATGCGTGTGTGTGTGTATATTATTATTATTATAATCAAGGGGGAAGCGCTAAACCCGGAGGATTATACAGCGCCTGGGGGGGGGGATGTGGAAGGCATTCAGGCTTAATTCGGGGAACTGGAGCACAGATCCAATTCCCTAAATCAAGAGCCCCTCACCAACATCAAGGAACCTTCCCTGAGGGGTGTGTGTATGTGTATAAATTCACATGACTAGTCATAAATGAAACTCAACATTATAAATAACGTTCCTTAAAGTAGTAAAAACATATTATATAAATGGTTATAATTATAACCTTAATTTTTAAAGATGTGAACTGGTAGGCCAGTGGAAGGCCTCGGTCAGATGAGCAAAAGCTCCAGCTGCAGGTCATCATGACTAAGTCCCGCATCAGGAAACACTTGCCCTGTTTCCTGACAAACCACCTTACCTAACCTAAACTATTAAGAACACGATGTTGGGAAAGTATTTATATGTTAGTTGCGCTGAAACTAATGAACACAAGACTACTATCCATTAGTTCAATAAAAAAATACATTCCTCAGACTTCCATAATCACAGTTATACAACTGGACCGTCGGTCAGTAATGGTACTTGTCTGACCAGACACCATCATATGAAGAAGTCTATCAGATAAAGCCGGTAACATTGAAATATTATATCAGTGTGACTTTGTAAATGGTCCAAGACGGACCGAAACGTCGACGTAAGTTTCTCTCTCCTATGTGCGAGTTATTTGTGTATTATTCTAGTCACGGTATTATGCCTTTTTGTTCTTTATATTCACAACATATTTAATTCCGAATATGTATTTAAAGATGGGATTGTAAAAGAAGTAAATTCTAGAGTGTTGGGGAGAGGAGTGGGATTAAATTATGGGGAATCATTACAAAATGGGAGTTGTCATAGTTACTTTTTGCTGATGATACTGTGCTTTTGAGAGATTCTAAAGAGAAGTTATAAAGGTTAGTGGACGAGCCTGGAAGGGTGTATAAAGAAAGTTGAAAGTGAACTTAGATAAGAGTAAGGTGATGAGGATATCAAAAGATTTATATAAGGAAAAATTGGATATCACGTTGGAGGAAGGGTGTATGGAAGAAGTGAATGTGTTAAGACACTTGAGAGTAAACTTGTCAGCGGATGGGTTTATGACGAACAAGGTAAACCATACAAATGAAGGAAAAAGGTAGATGATGTATTGAGGTATCTGTGGAGGCAAAGAACGTAATCCAGGGAGGTAAAGAAGGGAATGTATGAGAATACATTATGTATAATATAGTGGGTGTGAAGCGTGGGTTGTAAATGCTGCACCGAGGAGGAGGCTGGAGGCCGTGGAGATGTCGTGTCTAAGGGCAATGCGTGGTGTGAACATTATGCAGAGAATACGTAGAGTGTAAATCAGGAGAAGGTGTGGAGTTAATAAAAGTATTATTCAGAGAGCTGAGGAGGGGTTGTTGAGGTGGTTTGGTCATTTAGAAAGGCTGGAGCAAAATGGGATGACTTGGAGGGTGTATAAATCTGTAGTGGAGGGGAGGAGGGGTAGGGGTCGTCTTATGAAAGGAGGGGGTAAAAGAAGTTTTGTGTGCAAGGGGCTTAGACATACAGCAGTTATGTGTGAGCACTTTAAAGAAAGGGTTTGGGACATTTGCTGTTTGAAGTGAGATCCGAACTGTCATTTTTGCGCGCCTCGGCAAAGACAGTGATTATGTCTGGAGGAGCGCTGTTACCCTGTCCCGGTGGGAGACGGCCGACGAGTTGGAAATATATATATATATATATATATATATTTATATATATATATATATATATATATATATATATTATATATTATATATATTATATATTTATATATAATATTATATATATATATATATAATATATATTATATATATATATATTTATATATTATATATATATATATTTATATATATATTATATATATTTATTATATAATATTTATATATATTATATATTATATATATTATATATATATATATATATATATATATTTATAATATATTATATATATATTTATAATATATTATATTTTTTTTTTTGTTCATAAACATGCAAATTTCAGGTACGTCTTGTATTACTACACTAGTTCATACACATCATTACAAGATATATTATATATACAATCACCTGGGATTTTATTATTTCTTTATAGTTCTTGTTGTTTTTTTTCTCTTATCTCCATGGGAAGTGGAACAGATTCTACTTCTCTCCGTAGCCTATGCTGTTGTAAAGAGCGACTAAATATCGGGAAGCAAGGGTCTGGTAACTCTTTCTCCGTTTAAATTACTAAAATAAAGAAATTTGTTTTTTCTTTTTGGGTCACCCTGCCTTGTGGGAACGGCCGGTTGTTGAAAAGAAAAATAAGAGAAGTGTGTATATATCATTCTCCGATATAAATTTCTAAATATATATAAAGAAAACTATTAGTATTTTTTTTGATACTGCCTGATATTTTGAATAAAAAAAATTTATATATAATTTATAATGTCGTTGCCGAATAGCAGAATTGCGACTTGCTTAATGCAACGCTCATCTTGTCATTATAGGACAAGTGAAAATATTGTTGTATGCAATAATTTCGCAAATCATTTGAGCTAACGAAAAACATATATTTGATTTGTTTCTTTAGTACTAAATTACTGTAAACGTATTTAAAATATATTTAGTATGGGTTAGGTTAAAATAAATTGCTCTTGTTATAATAAGGTTAGGTAAGTTTTCTAAGATTTTTTGGTGAAAAATTAATTTTTTTTCATTAACATTAATGAAAAAAATATATCTTTAAACGTATAAGAGAAAATTTTAGAAAGAACTTAATTTTAAATGAGTTCTTGCTATTTGACCAGTTTTACATATTCGGCACGACATATATATATATATATATATATATATATATAATATATATATATATATATATATATATATAATATATATATATATATATATATATATATTTATGAATCTTAATTTTATATAACAAATGCACAAAAAATAAACAAAAAACAAAACAAAAGAGGTGAGGTGCATTTATGAAGGGTACACCAGAGGTGAGGGAGTGTTGTCATGGATACGACACAATATACGTATAGCCAACCTAGAATAATGTTGCTCTAGGAAACATTATATACAGCGTAACATGTATTTTTTTGAGTCCACAGTCCACTGAAACATACATATAAAAACACACAATACACACACACACACACACACACACACACACACACACACACACACACACAACATATAATATATATATATATATATATATATATATATATATATAATATATATATATATATATATATATATATATACATTAAAAATAAATTCGTTTATTCTAAAGTTGTTACGTATGAAATTCCTTGCAAATATTGTGATCTATGATACACAGGACAAACAGGTAGAAAATAAAAATAATAATTGTAACAGAGTAAACACAAGAGCAGCATCTGGCACAAAACACTTCAGCAGTTTCCTACCACAATAAAAATCATAATAACATTAACCGTGGAGCTGATTCCATTGTATATATACATCCATCCATCTGTATAATTAAAAAATCAAGTCTGCCATGATTGCAACAGTTCTAATATCTCGTATGACAATTGGAAACCTGACACCAATAGTTCCTGCACCTTCATTACATCATGAGAGCTGCCTTGGTCTATAAACTTTATGTGTTGAACACCTTGTGGTCTACTGAAGAAGACCTTAGAACGAGGCCTATCTATACAGTGCTCATTTTAACTTTAATTTATTCTCCATGTGGGTTTGTGTTTACCACTAATAAATGTATACATGTACTAGGCATTGTCCTTTTCTTCATCTAAAACCTAAATATGAAATATATAGTTCATTTACAATAAATAATTCTTTGATGTTTCTGGTGCATCAGTATTAAGTTCTATACAAAAATATGTTCTTTTTGTCAGATTAATATGTGACACGGAAGTTACGCGGCGGTGACCAGCATCATCTGAAGAGGACAACTTGTACACTACGTTTTGAAGGTAAATACTTATAACATATCTCTGAGAGAAGCTCCTCCGCCGTACGTTTTGAATTTTGAATGTTCTTAAGAATTCAATAGCAGCAGATGCTTTGGAATTCCGTGAATAAATAAGAAAGAGAGAGAGAGAGAGAGAGAGAGAGAGAGAGAGAGAGAGAGAGAGAGAGAGAGAGGAGAGAGAGAGAGAGAGAGAAGAGAGAGAGAGAGAGAGAGAGGAGAGAGAGAGAGAGAGAGAGAGAGAGAGAGAGAGAGAGAGAGAGAGAGAGAGAGAGAGAGAGAGAGAGAGAGAGAGAGAGAGAGAGAGAGAGAGAGAGAGAGAGAGAGAGAGAGAGAGAGAGAGAGAGGAATGATGAATGAGCAGGAAGTAGTAGGTCAGTCTAACACGGCGGAGGATTTTTACTGACTAGTAGCTACTTAGCTATAACTACACACGTAATTCTACGATGAGTCTTCCGGTGAATGAATTAGAGCATGTAGGCGGACTAACGCAGCTGGTACATCCAGCAGCAACAGCTGCAGTGATTGTATTAATATTGGTAGAATTACCGACAATATGTTAAGTAAAAGAACACAAATGCAACTAATGTGATATTTTATTGTGGCAACATTTCGCTCTCCAGAAGCTTTATCAAGCCGTTACAAAGAATACATGGACACAGAAGGTATATATAGGCTTAGAGTGAGGTGTAATACTATAGGAAGTAGTAGCAGTAATATTAGTTCAATGCAACAGCCAGGTTGCATTGAATGTTTCCAAGGTACTCGCACAAACTAACACTAGAGTCGCCATCGCATCCAGCACTTCCATAAGTGATCTAACCAGGACAAAATCGAACCACAATGAACCAGTCAGTGCAGGAGTATACACTATACCTTGTGGAGGCTGTGACAAGATATATGTAGGTGAAACAGCAAGGAACCTTGAAACACGCCTCAATGAACACATTAATGCATGTAGGAATGATAACTTGAACAACGCCTGCGTACAATACCGGAATTCCACCAATCCCCTCATGAAATTCAACAATGCCCGAATAGTGATCAGAAAGCCTAATTTCCGCAGACGTAAATGCCTTGAATCATCGTTAATCGCTGTTTCTAACACAAACAAAATAAAGCCAGCTTTATCATCTCTGAAGTATTAGCAAAAATCCTCCTCAAAACAGTAAACACTGCCATCACACAGTCTGCTGCTAATACTACACAAGCACCAAGCAATAACATTTATAACCTTTTACTTATGTGCAAATTGATTCTTCTACTTTATTGTATTACTGCTGCTACTACAACTAATATTACTACAACTACTCCTACCTCTAGTATTACACTTCACTCCAAGCCTATATATACCCTCTGTGTCCATGTATTGTTTGTAACGGCTTGATAAAACTTGTGGAGAGCGAAACGTTGCCACAATAAAATGTCACATTAGTTGCATTTGTGTCCTTTTGCTTAACAGCTGCAGTGATGTTGGTACATGTAGCAACAGCTGCAGTGACGCTGGTACATGTAGCAACAGCTGCAGTGACGCTGGTACATGTAGCAACAGCTGCAGTGACGCTGGTACATGTAGCAACAGCTGCAGTGATGTTGGTACATGTAGCAGCAACAGCTGTAGTGATGGTACATATATTAACAGGTCTAGTGATGCTGGTATATGTAGCAGTAACATCTGTAGTTCATGTATCAGTACTAGCAATAGCGGTGCTGGCATATGTACATAATCAGCACCAGCAGTAGTTCATTTACGTATCAAAAGAGATGTACAACGTTTAAACCCCCTGGTGGGCGAAACATTTCCTTAATAAAGTTGTCTACCGTACAGCATGTCTCTTTTAGACATTTACCTGTATTTTACACCTTGCTTAATACAACACCACATGCTGGTCTAGCAGCGTACTGTACTGTATTATACTGTATTGTTATATTATATTGTATTGTATAGCACTAATTGACAACACGGCGTGTAATGACGTTGGACAACATAGTCTGAACAGGGCGTCTAGTGGCGGTGAGACATGTAATAGCACCAGTAGGCTACGTTGAAGACGAGGAAGGTGACGGGGAACAAGTAACGGGAGACCTCGTCGATCCTGCAGGCCAGGAGGCGGTAGCGGCGAGTGTCTGCCCTGCTAATGGAGAACTCTGCCACGTCTGCTGCCGGGGAGGCCTGCGGAGTCTGCTCACCCCCCCGCCCGTTCTGCTGCTCATCCCACACATGCAAACAACACGACAGATACAAGGGTAAATTAGTAAGTGGACTGTTAGATAGGTGAAGCGATAGAGGGGAAGAGAGGGAAGGATATAGCTGAGGGAAATTAGGATTTTTGAAAGAATGAGAACCTGAAAGAATGAGGATCTAAATGAAGCTACAGAAATTAGAACCTGACGGAATGAAGACTTAGTTATTAGGAGCTGAAGTTACTAGGAATCGCAGTTATTAGGAGCTGCAGTTATTAGGAGCTACAGTTAGTGGAAGCTGCATCTACTAGGAGCCACAGTTACTAGGAGCTTCAAGGGCTACATCTCGAATTTTCAATTATTTAAATGCCAATAAAACTAGGGCTTACAACTGAACCCATTAAACACAAGTCCTATTATAGGAAAAATAATCGCGGGGTTAAGACTGCAGAGTCGTAGTGACAACACCAAGCACAGGTATACTGAACACTAGTCAATAATACAAGACAACCATCATGGACAATAAAGATGGTAAGAAGAGCATTGCATATTTCTACCTGCAACTACACAAGAAATCCTCAGTAGTGGGTAGAAATATAAAGCACTTCTCTTACCTAAGCTTTGATTTTCTCCTCATGGGCTGCCTTGCGTTAACAATTATCGGGTCTCCAAATGTACCAGTTCAATATAAGTAGAGATCTTTTAAGATTACTCTTTTCGATAATATACTAGTAATGAAACGGGTCATTCGGCTCCCTGACACTAGAATTGATTTCTCTTACAGTCCGGCCACTCAGCTCGGTGACATCCCATATCCCTGTCTAAGATCTTTTTTTACGGGAAACATTTTCCAGTTTTCCTACACACCTTAATCTTTTCCTACCTCTGTTCAGTAAAGCTCCTGACAGTTGTCAAACACTTACCATTAACTCCATAAATATTTAACAATTAACCAAGTGTGTGCCTCTCAACCCTCAGAGTCAACAGTTGAAGTTATATTTATGTAATAGTGAAGGTAGGTACGAACATGTGTATTATGGAGCAGTTAGAAAGAAAGAATAACATCTGTCTTGATTCAATGAGTGTCACACTGTAGGTAGTGATCAACAGTTCTCATACAGTTCACAGGGGCGTGTGACCATCTGAGGAACCACTTAAAAAATGAAATCGAACCAGTTAAGCCTACTATTTAACCAATCATTAAAATTTTCAGTAAATCACAGCAAGGCATATTTAAGAGGTTTAAAACTGCATGATAATAGGTCACACTTGTTCAAGTCGAATTAAATCGGTTTTAGATTGTGTGAAATTGTTATATATATTGCATTTTGACTATTATATTCACGAGGGAGGTGTTATATCCATTGTTAAATGAAGCTCATTGAGAATGGGAGGTAATTAGGCTTGATCCTAGTAAGAGGGTAGCTCCAACTCCTTGGATCAAGAGCCTTTCGTCAGCATCAAAGCTCACAACCCTTGAATGGGGAAATAAGTGAACCTTGCTTGTAATTACATGTTAATTAACTATTTGTCATTACTTGTGGTTACAGTGGAGCTAAATATGGCGGTCTGTGTTTTGTAATTTGTTACAATTCTTTTTTCTTACTTTTGTATTAGTTGTTGCATTCACAACCTTCTCGTGAAGACTATTCCACCTTACTACTTTATAGAGACATGCTTGTTGCAGTCTTTTATAGAGAAATGTCTTACCGGCATCAGTTCCATCCAGCTGTCTGAGGTGGTCTTGGGTCGGCAGGGGTTGTGGCAGGGAGAACTTAGCTTCTTACGCCAGTAGTAGTTGACTACGGTAAACTCCAGCAGCGCCGCGAAGATGAACGCTGTACACACACCCATCCAGATGTCGAGCGCCTACGTATGTTCCACAGTTACTTATCATGAGACAACAGATAAAACAGATACGAAGGAGGACGGTCATAAGAATTAGTTTAACTATCAAATGTCTCAAGACAGGCTAGACTAAAACTTAAAAAAAAAAACAAATACGATTAAATATTAATAAGGCCTCGGCTATCCCACTGGTAGCGTTTCCATCGTACATGTTTTAATGAACAGCTTTTGCCAAAGTGATCCTGATTATTTTAATAAACATATATATATATATATATAATATAATATTATATATATATATATTATATATTATAATATATATATATATATATATATATATATATAATATATATATATATATATATATATATATATATATATTTATGATATAATATATAATATATATATATATATATATATATATATATATATATTATATTATTATATTTTAATATATATATATATAATATATAATATATATATAATATATTATATATATATTATATATATATATATATATTTATATATAAATATATATAATCTATATCTATATATATATATTATATATATATTATATATATATTATATATATATATTATATCTATATATATATATTTATATATTATATATATATTATCATATATATATATATATCATATAGTATATATATATATATATACATATATTATATATATATTACATATAATATATATATATATATATATATATATATATATATATATATATATATATATATATATATTATATATTATATATATATATATTATATATATATATATATATATATATATATATATATATATATATATATATATATTATATATATATATATATATATATATATATATATATATATATATATATATATATATATATATAGTAAACAGTGTGTTTACAGTTATTAACACGGATGTGGAATAGCGACCAGTTTATGATTAAATGAAATAAACTTATTATATATAATATATATATATATATATATATATATTATATATTATATATATGTTATATATATATATATATATATATATATATATATATATATATATATATATATAATATATATATATATATATATATATATATAAGTTTATTTCATTTAATCAATAAACTGGTCGCCATTCCACATCCGTGTTAATAACTGTAAACACACTGTCAGTTACACAGCTGCCAGCCCAAGTGACACTTCTTATTGCTAGACTAAAATTATACGTAATGTCAGAGAATAAACATCGTGACAGTAAAATATTTTTCCCCAAGTAATATTACAAACACTGTACTACTACGAACACTGGTTTTATATTTTCGTGTACTCTACTGTTGGTGGTACTCTACTGCTGATGGTACTCTACTGCTGATTTTACTCTACTGCTGATTGTACTCTACTTCAAACTCACTACTTCAACCTTGCTGGTTATGATTTGACAACTATAATGTACTTACATCTCGCCGCTGCTGCTGCTACACTACACCTACTCTAGCCTAAACAAAGCCTAAGAACTACAATAGACAAACAAGACTTGACTCACTTTTATGTAGGATACCTGAGGGATCTTCAACTGCGTCTCTGCAAACAAAGATTTTTTTTAACTCTTGTCTAAAGAAAAACGATTAGATTAAAAGAAATTAAAATATAAGTTAAGGCAGTACTATAAACTAAATGGGATATATTATTATGATTCTTCAGAAGGTATAAACAAAGTTGGAGTCAACCATCACAAAGAAGACTTATAATCTGACCTTCAACTGACCAATGACATCCACTGTTTTGCTTTCCACCAGAAGCTCCACGTGATGTATATAGATGCAAGTCAACACAAACGTGCTAAACACATTCGTGTACTCCCATCATTATCTGATGATGATGAGAACATACCAAGCAGCCTGAGAAGCCAGTGTTTATTTCTACCAGTCCTCGGATAAATATAGTAGCTGCTTATATTACTTGCACAGGAGGAGTCCAATATACGTGTGACATTAGTGATTATATCTTAATAACGGCCATTACCATTTTATGTATTTTTATTGTGAATTTTGCAAACGTTATTTAAAATAGGTTAGGTTTACTTGGTTAGATTATTTTTTTTAAATCACGATACGTTTTTTGGGTAATAAATACGGTCAAAGGAACACGAGAATTATGTTGAAAATCCCACTCTTGATGCTGTAAATACGTACGGTGTTATTATCTGGAGGCTTCAAGGCCTGTATGCTGTTTTATACTTATAACTCGTGTATGTTGTTATTACTACTTATAATGAGTAAGTAAAAACTTGAGTAAAAACTTTACTTATGACTCTGAGGACTCATTGTTCTTGAGGGAACAGTGGGTCACAGTGGCCTCTTTCAACTTGTCTCAATACCAACGTTCAACTTGCATCTCCATAAGAATAAATTATAGTATTGTGATACCAACAATATGTGGACAGAAATAACTCCTAGGAGTGACTTCTTCAGTACTAATGACTGAAGAAGCCACAAGTGGCGAAACGTTTCCATTAATAAATGTCCTGAACTGTACGTAAGTGTTTTTTCCACATTGCGTCTCCATAACAAAGTTCAGCTTGCGTCTCCACGCTAAAGTTCAACATGAATCTTCATACCATCGTTGAACTTGTATATCTCACTTAAAAAGTTACTTCACTTCCTTATTCATGAATTATATTTGATTTAATATAATAGGGAGGTGAGGCGGTGAAGTACCTCTCACCCAAACATCTTGCTCGCTCTCTTTTCCTTCACGGACATACGATCTCTATAACACTATTACTACTTGCGATATAATTTCGTTAATTACTGACATGTAATTATAATGACTACAAAACTGATTCAATTACATACCAATTACATTATCCGAATAATTCTTCACACAAATAAAGCAAGGTCTTTCACCTGCTGCCCCTTTTCACCTAGCAGTAAATACAGTAGGTACCTTGGTGTTAGTCTATTGTTGTAGGTCTCATCCTGGATTAGGGTCAAGAGGCGGTTTATTCGTCACGAAATACAATAAGTATCTCCTCACACGAGCGTTTATCAAATGAACACCCGTAAATAGTTAAACTTATGAGAGTTAGGTCTACACGCCATCGAATAATATGAAGGATCACTACCAAGTATTATCCTAAGATACAGATGATCACATGGTTTCCCTGGGTACATCAACACACCAAAAGTTTACTGCCCTCCAAGACGTGTATTCGATGTTCCACGTACAAATGTCCATATTACGTTACAGATTCAATTACCTTAATGCTGTTGTTGCCTCACTGACTGCATTCTCCTCTGGGATCTCAAGGTAAGTAAAAACATTTTATCTAATTTTTAAGACCCGGGGTTTTAATACGCTAGAGTGGACATCTTCCGTATACAAGGACTTTAGATACATATACGTTACTCTATGAAGCACCCAACATCACCTAGCGTCTGGTTTTACCCATCCTCAGCATAATCTAGTACCCAACTTCACCTAGCACCCAGCATCCCAGGAGACTAACCTGATGCCTGGTTGGAGACGGTGAGGAGAGTGGTGACGCCCAGGCAAGTGCGGGCAGGGACGGAGTCTGTGTCCATCCAGAAGCCCATCCAGGAGATGACCACAATGAGGATGCTGGGAAGGTAACTTTGCACCAGGTGGAACCCAATGTTTCTCTCAAGGGTAATGAGGGCGCGTAGGCAGCTATAGTTACCTGTGAGGGAAACAGCAACTCCGTCAGGTAAAACCGAACAAGCTTTTAAGACAACTCTTTGCTCAGGAATCTCAACAAAGAGCCATTCCGGGGGCTTCATACATATGTCAGGCCCGTCATGGAGTACGTAGCACCAGTATGGAGCTCACACCTGAGGAAGCATGTTAAGAAACTGGAGAAACTGCAGAAATATGCAACGAGACTAGTTTCAGAGCCAAGGAAATTTAATCTAAGGAATTTAATCTAACGACCCTGGATGACAGAAGGACCAAGGAGACATGATAACCACATACATAACACTCAAAGGAATTGATAGGGCAGAGACAAGCTGTCTGTGAGGTGGGAAAGAGGTACTCGGGACGGAAAGGGGAAACAGCTGGAACTTAAAAATACAGACGAGTCAAAGGGACGCTTGAAAGTATTTCTTCAGTCTCAGCTTGGTCGGGAAGCGGAATGACCTCGACGAAGTGGGGGAGGCAGACTCCAAACATAGTTTTAAGAACAGGTACGACAGGGCTCACTAGGCTAGGTTAGAGTGAATCTGGCAAGCGACAAGCAGAGAGGCAGAGCCAGGAGCTAAGACTCGACCCCTGCAACCATTTACAGGTGAGTATACACACACACACACACACACACACACACACACACACACACAATGCGTATATTTAAATATACAGCTCTATAATATTAAGCGTAGTGAAAAGTGGAAGACACAAGAGAACTAAACTAGAGAAGCAATAATAATAATATACACTTTCCCCTCTACTCCCCTCATAAAAAAAGATAAACACAGATAAAGTCAGCTAACAAGTGTTTAAAAGAAGTGTGTCTGAGTTGAAGCTGAAAAACCAGCAAAATTAACCAAGTAATTATAAGTGTGTAATTACATAGGGAAACAGACTCCAGCAAGATACGGAGTGGCTAAAATAAGAAAATGAAGATGGTCACACAAATGGTTCTGGATTTCAACCCGAGAAATACAAGGTAATGAGGAGCAGAGAAGACTAGGCAAAATATATATACTATGGAAGAGAAGGAGAGATGTCCCACTGACATTAGTGTAGTCGTCGGAAATCCGCCAATTGTATCCCAAAAACAAAGGTCTGGGAGTCTGCATCACGCCAAACATATTGACAGACGGGTTTATATTCTGGGTAAGATCAGCAATATACACTACATTACCAAATCTACGAAGAATAAGGAAAAGCAAGCAGGTGTGTAAAGAAAAGTACTCACACAGACCAATGAGTACCTAACATATACAAAACAAGGACGAAGATAATTGATTTGCCATATGAGCTCACTTCCTAGGTATCGTTGTTTGCTGATGACGTAAAACTGATGAGAACAACAAGAACGGTAAGTGATTGAGACAGTTTACATGAAGGCTTGGACAAGCTGCATCATCAGTGGTCAAACATTTCTCACAAAGTGGTTGATGGCTGGAACGAAGTCAGAAAGAAAGAAGTGTGTAATACAAGTATTCACGATTTTAATCTTTAACACGAAAAAGTTATTATAGTTTACCCAGGCATACACAAGCACATACATTCACGCACACGCACACGCACACCTAAAGATAAACAAGCACATACAAACACAAGCACATGTACACCTGCACATGCGTACAACCAAACACACACCGAGCACATCTCCTGAAGCGCACATAAACCAGATAACTGCTGCAGCATATGGGCGCCTGGCAAACCTGAGAATAGCGTTCCGATACTTCAGCAAGGAATCGTTCAAGACTCTGTACACCGTGTATGTCAGGCCCATACTGAAGTATGCAGCACCAGTTTGGAACCCACATTTGGTCAAGCACGTCAAGAAATTAGAGAAAGTGCAAAGGTTTGCAACAACGCTAGTTCCAGAGCTAAGGGAAATATCATACGAAGAAAGGTTAAGGGAAATCGGCCTAACGACAGTGGAGGACAGGAGGGTTACGGAAGACATGATAACGACATACAAAATACTGAGAGGAGCAGATAAGGTGGACAGAGACAGGAAGTTCCAGAGATGAGACACAGAAACAAGGGATCATAATTGGAAGTTGAAGACTCAGATGAGTCAAAGAGATGTTAGGAAGTATTTCTTTAGTCATAGAGTTGTCAGGAAGTGGAATAGTCTGGCAAGTGATACAGTGGAGGCAGGAACCATACATAGTTTTAAGACGAGGAATGATAAAGCTCATGGAGCAGGGAGAAAGAGGACCTAGTAGCGATCAGTGAAGAGGCGGTACCAGGAGCTATGTATCGACCTCTGAAACCACATATAGGTGAGTACACACACACGCACACACACACCAGGAGAGAGAGAGGCAGACTGCATCGTTTTTGACTGTAAGAAGGTTTTCGATAAAGTATCACACAAAACATTGGCTGAAAAGCTAGTCCAGGCAGGAATAGCAGGGAGAGTACTGCAATGGATCAGGAAATACTTGTCAGGAAGGAAACGAGTGTTGGTACCTGGCAAGGTGTCAGAGTGGGTACATGTGTCAAGTGGGGTTCCACGAGGGTCAGTCCTACGTCCGGTGCTGTGTCTAGTATGTGTGAATAACATGACAGAAGGAATAGATTCAGAGTGTCCCTCTTCGCAGACGATGTGAGGATAATGAAGAAAATACAAGGAGATTTGGACAGGCTGCAAGCCTCGTCTGACAAATGGCTCCTGGAGTTCAACACCAACAAGTGCAAAGTCATGAAGTTTGGGGAAAGACAAAGAAGACCGCAGACGGAGTACAGCCTAAGAGGTCAAAGGCTGCAAAACTCACTAAAGGAAAAGGGTCCTGGGGTAAACATCACACCGAGCACATCTTCTGAGGCGCACATCAACTAAATAACTGCTACAGCATATGGGCGCCTGGCAAACCTAAGAATAGCGTTTCGACATCTAAGTAAGGAGTCATTAAAGAAACTGTAGACTGTGTAAGTCAGGCCCATACTGGAGCATACAGCACCAGTTATGGAGCCTACACCTGTTCAAAAACGTCAAGAAATTAGAGAAAGTGCAAAGGTTTGCAACAAGACTAATCCCGGAACTAAGGGGTATGCCCTACGAGGTGAGGTTAAGGGAAATCAACCTGACGACAATGGAGGATAGAAAGGATAGGGAGGAACATAATAACGACATTATAAAATACTGAGAGGAACTGACAAGGTGGATAGGGACAAGATGTTTCAGAGATGGGACACAGAAACAAGGGGTCATAACTGTAAGTTGAAAACTCAGATGAGTCACAGGGATGTTAGGAAGTATTTCTTCAGTAATAGAGTTGTCAGGAAGTGGAACAATCTGGAGAGTGATATAGTGGAGGCAGGATCCATGACAAGTTTTAAGAAGAGGTATGATAAAGATCATTGACAAGGGAGAGAGTGGACACAGGAGCGACCAGCGAAGAGACGGGACCAGGAGCTGTGACTCGACCCCTGCAACCACAAATAGGTGAGAAGTAGGTGAGTACACATACACACGAAACTGAACCAAAACGCATATCCTTAAAAATTCTTCTGGGGTACATTTTTAAAATTGCTTTTTCCCGTGAATGGTGCAGTTCCACATGAAAAACTGCAAATTCCCAATTATAATTCTTCATCACGGAATACCAGAAAACTCGGTGAAGGGGTCTGGCTAAATGCGAAATTCACCACTGTATATCCAAATATATTTCAGCGATTATTTCGATCAAGAAGGTAACGTAATATAAATAATAATAATTATTATTAATATTATACTAATAAGCTGATATAAGAATTGTCAATAAAATATGGTTATTGTAAAAATATCAATACAAAAATCATGTATATCTGTCTTGTAAATATTGCTTTAGTAAGGTAAATGCCATATGATAAATAGTGCATCTAATTGTTATTCAAACATTTTCACTTAGTCCCAAGAGTCAGTGAGTAACAATAATAAAGAAAACGCATTATTTTTTTTTATCCAGCTGATTCAGAAGAAACTGTGGACGAAAATCAGAGAGAATATGTTCACTTATTACCTTTCAAGAGTTACCGAGAACGTGAATCGCCTTAAACCGTAGGTTCTCAAGTTGGAGTGTTGACTCCTGGCTCCGGCCGTCTCCAGCACCGTCACCCGAGTTCACCAGCATTTATTTACCTGGCGCTCACTGGGATATATTTTGGTCTTGATGACTCAACGGTTACCCCAGCCCACCAAAGTTGGTCTATGTGTCTTGGTGACCCCATACTTTGTCTGCATCGGTCTTGGTGGTGACAGCAAGTGTGTGCCCATCTCGGTGATTCCATGGTGACACCATGAGAAGCTTGGCGACTCGTTGGTTATACTTCATAATTTTTTACTCATTTTAGTGACTCCTTGACATCATGTTAGTCATTGTTTTGATTACTCTTCTGACTCCAAGATGGTGTATATACATCCATCTTGTAACATACTAGTGACTATAGGCTGCTTGTATCCATCGTAGTGCATATACGGTGATATCAAAGTTTTATAATCGTGCTGGTGACTTCTTTGTAACTCAACGTTGGTCAGCCATCTGGCTAAACTCTTCTCTGGCACAATTTACGATCACAGGTATAAAATGGCATCCAAATTACCCACTACATCCAGACATCAAAGCCTAAGGTCAGGATTCAATAAAGACAGTCTGATCAGCCTAGACACTGCTTCCTGTGTCATGACAGTTACACAGCCATCACAGCCTGATTGATAAGGATCTTCATGCACGAACTTGGATTGATTCCTCTTCAAGACTTACCTTTTCTTCCGGCAATATATCTAGTATTTTCTGGTAGAAGTGAGAGTTGTGCACCATAAATGTAGAAAGATATACTCACTGCACTCTTGCTTCTCAGGGGATCAAATCTTAACTTCCTTTCGTATTTTAAACTTCAGATATCAGTGGTTGAATTAAATGCAACAGTGTTAAGTTGCATAAAAAAAACACTACTGTATATAATGATCACAGTCTGAACATTAATTTAAGACTTCATTAATAAAATTTGTTAGAATTTTAAGCAATGGTAACAAACCAAATCACTTTACCTGGCATGCCACTCCTGACCTGTCATAAGTTCCGCATCAATATTAATGTAAGTTCCATTAGTAAGGTAATAACCTGAGCGTGTTATGTCAGGACCAGATGTGAGGTGCGCCTAGAT